GGGCGCGCAGCGCTTCTCGCTGGCCGGCGCCGCCTTCCCGCCCGACTTCTGCGAGGGCACCTTGCCCTACTCCTACAACCTGTGCGTGGCCGCGCCGGCCCGCGCCGCCACCGAGGCCGCTTGGCCGCCGCCGCCGCTGCCCATCCTGCCCGCCGAGGAGCTTCTGGCCGGGGAGCCCTGCGACAAGCCAATCCTGAGCAGCAGCACCGCCGTGGAGCAGCCGACCACAGACCCTGACGCACCGCAGGTCTGTAAGCCCTGAATATTTTCTATGATTGTGTTGGTGACCGTGGATTCTTTTCTCTGCTGGGATGGCTCGTACCGGTCTCTATTTCTATGTACGCCTCTAACAATCTTGTCCTGTGTCTCTTAGGAGCAGATGGTGCAAAGGGTCTAGTTATTGCTGTCAGACCTGTCAGACGTGTAGACTTGAGGCAGGCTCTTGCCGTCAATGTTTTGCTAAGTAGAATGTTACAGGGTAAAGCTCTGGTTTATATTTTGTTTTCCTTCACTGTCTATTCAGAGCAGGCAGGCAGAGACAATACCTGTTCTTTCATCATAGGCTGAGGTGTAGCTGAAGAAGTTTGTTTTCAAAGCTTGTCTGAAACTGACAGTTTCAGCTGAACGGGATTTGTTTATTCCATGATTGAGTTTCGTTGTTTCAGATGTTTTCCTTCTGATCTCTCTTTTCCCAAGCAATGTGTTAACGCCTGGGGAACAGCTGTTAAACAAACAAACAACCCAACTCTTTATTTCTTTCGTTTTCGCTGTTGCACTCCAGAAATGTGGATCCCTGGATAGAAAAGTAGCAGGCTGTTACTTCATAGTGAATGCTTCCATGTGCTCTCGTGTCTTTTGAGGGGAGGTAGCTGCATAAATGTCGGATTGCTGTGAGGAAATGAAATAAGGCTGGCAGACATCACTGCCACCCTCACCAGTTGTCACATTTTTAGGGGAGATTTTCGTCCTTCAAATCGTGCTGTCCACATAATTGTGATGGTTCAGACGCATAGTAGCTCTTCTTTCCGTTCACTGTACGTTTAGGTTCAGTTGAAAATTTTTGTCTACGAAGGTAGGGTTGTCTGAAATATTAGGAGTTATTAAAGTAGAAGGTAGATCCTTACTACATAAAATGAGATTCGTTAATGCTACATGATGGGATCAGGGAAAAGGAGTGGCTGTTTCTCCTTCCTGATCCATCTTTCGTGAAGCGATGTGGAGGGATTGGTTGGCTGGTGAATAGCACCACGGTTTTGATACCGTTTCGGTGTTTTACTCCAAAGGCAATCTACGTGTGTCTTCCTAGTGAATGTTCAGCCTTACCCTCTCCCTTCTTTTCCTGGAAGCTTTAGAATGATAACGGGCTGGTCCCGCTGGACGAGACCCAACGTTTCTGTGGCGAATGTCCCGTCGCCACGAGCTGCCTGTGCTCAAGGCAGGGTGAGCATCTCTCGGCAGCGCTCGGTGCCTGCAGTGCCGGGAGGAGGCTGCGGGCGCCGCTGTTGACCGAGAGGAGCGAGAGGAAGGTCGGAGCGCTGCAGCCCCGCCCGCTGCGGACCGGCTCGATCGCTGCCTGACAGGATCGGCTGCTGGACGATCTGTGATCTTTCCCGCAGTGACGATCCGTGCTGCAGCGAGGCGGAGAGTCCGGCGGCACCAGCCGGGAGCGGCGAACAGCAAAGCTTATCGGCTGGCGGCAGCTGGGATCTGCCGGTAGTGTTGCGGTGCCGGCGGTGCGGCGGCGGCGATGTGCTCGGCGGGGAGGCGCTGGGGCCGGCGGCAGCGAGTCCTGCTCTGGGGCGTCCTGCTGGCGTCCTGGGAGGCGGTGTGGGGGCAGCTGCACTACTCGGTGCCCGAGGAGATGCCCAAGGACTCGTTCGTGGGCGACGTGGCCAAGGACCTGGGGCTGCAGCTGCCGGAGCCCCCAGACCGTGGTGTCCGAGTTGTCTCCGAAGACAGGACGCAGTATTTCACTCTGCACGGGAAGACGGGACATTTAGTGACGGCCGAGAGGATCGACAGAGAGCAGCTGTGCGAGAGTGTGGAGCAATGCGTGCTGCGCTGTGAGCTGATAGTGGATGGACAGATGCAGGTTTATGGAATCGAGGTGGAAATCATGGACATTAATGACAACGCCCCGAGCTTCAAGGATACTGAGATAGTAGAGAGAATGAGCGAGACAACAGCCCCGGGGTCGCGATTTTCCCTGGCTGAGGCTCGTGACCCGGACTCGGGACGGAATTCCTTACAGAGCTACGAGCTGAGCGGCGACGAGCACTTCTCGCTGGCCGTGCAGACGGGCCCCGGCGGGGATCAGCGTCCCGAGCTGGTGCTGGCGAAGGCGCTGGACCGGGAGGAGGCGGCGTTCCACGAGCTGGTGCTGAGGGCGATGGACGGCGGCGATCCGGCCCGGACGGGCACGGCGCGGATCCGCGTG